TCTCTTTCTTTTTTATTTAATTTTTAAAAATATTTATTTTATTTGTTTATGCATACAAGAACTAGGGTACAGACCGGAGGTGCAGAGGGTGAGAGGATTCACCAGAGACAGAGTGGGGAGCAGAACAGGCAGGTCTACTGAAGTACACTGCTGAGGGGAGCAGCGGTTGGGTCAGGAGAGGTCTGCTGCCCATGTGGGTCACCCCCGACAGGGGATGAACTCACGGTGAAGCGGCTACTGCGAGCTTCATGGTGCTGCGCGTTAGCCCATTGCGCCACCACGGAGGGCCCCCAGATGGAGTTCTTGATGACTGAGATGATGCCAGGACTTGGTGGCCGAAGGGTGTGTATATCTCCCTTCCCCTTAGACCCAGACCAGGGTCTCAGTGGGCCCCATGTCCAAGAGAACGAGCTCCCAAGAGTTGGGCAGGGGCTCCTTCTTGGCCAGCATGGGCTTTGACCTGCAGTTGGTGCCTCAGCAGCAGACAGGGCTCATGTGACTGTTGTCTCTCCACAGGCATTGGTGCCATCACACGGTGACAAGGACTGTGTCCTGCCAGGTGCAGAACGGCTCAGAGACAGTGGTCCAGCGCGTGTACCAGAGCTGCCGGTGGCCTGGGCCCTGTGCCAACCTTGTGAGGTAAAGTCCACAGGGCTGGCCAGCCGCCCTACCTTTCTGACCCTCGAAGAATCTAAGCTGCTGGGGGAGGCGGGTTGACACTCAGAAATGAGTGTGCATTTATGGAACGCCTTCTGCCTATGGGGCATGGGTGTGTGCAAACATGATAGGGACTTGCTCCCCACCGTGATGAACCTCACAGTTTAATGGGTGTTTGATGGGCAGAAGCCCACCACGGTCATTGAGTTGGGTAAGGGGGTAGGGATGCTGGGAAGGGCCAAGTGAGGTTGAGAAAAGAACTGGTCGGTCTCTGGGCTCCAGACAGAATGTGGGCCCGAGGTGAGCGAGGAAACCTGCCTGCCTGCTGCCCTTTCTCTCACGTCCCACCCTCATATAGCCCCACCCTTATGCAGCCCCACCCCATGTAGCCACACCCTCATATAGCCCACCCTCATGTAACCACGCCCTCACATAGCCACCCTTGTAGCCACGCCCTCATATAGCCCCACCCTCATGTAACCACGCCCTCACATAGCCCATCCTCATATAGCGCCACCCTTATGCAGCCCCACCCCATGTAGCTACGCCCTCACATAGCCCACCCTTGTAGCCACGCCCTCACA